TATTTCTCTTCTTCCCCATGACATAGGAAAGGGCTATTACATATGAATTTTTAGATTTTTTTGATGTAACATTTTGTCACAAGACTTGAAATACTATTTCAAAGGCAGTACAGTTTAGGATAGCAGTTCCCACTAGTATTTCCTTATCATCAGACTATTGGAAGCCTCTTCATCTTGTGTATTATTGGAAGGCATGCTGGGAGAATTTTGTCAAGTTAGCTATCCTATAGGGTATAGTGACAGAACTGATCATGCAGGAATTAGGGAAAGATCATTTTTCTAATCAAACTTTAGAAGGGAGTCCAAAGACTGCTGATACTGTCCCTTGATTCATGTATCAAGAAAGATCCGTTCTGAGAAATTTTAAATGACTTGGAAGAAGGGCATTGGCACCACAATGAGAACCATTTTTTAAAAGAGTGATTTATCTTGAAATCAGGCATGAATGAACAGAGGCAATGGGAATATCCACCTGAGCCTAGAAATTCAAATAAAAAGGGAATGAGATGGTGAGTATGAGGTTCAAGGATATTTTATAAAAATGAGGATTACATGCAGGCTGTTACTATAAGAATTAAACATTCCTTAGTGTGTCACCTGGATCCTCCTGATTTTCCCCACAGTATCACAATATGGGAGTCAGAGCATTGGAACAGGCTGCTGCACGGCCCTGGTAGTGTGATGTGAATATAGCTAGTCAGGCCTGAATTGGATACTCCCATTGTATTTTTCAAGGCTTGTAAAATAATGCAGTGACCACCCACTTTCTCAATTTAAAAAAAAACCTTTACCTTAGAAAAATCTCTACTTTGGAAATATACTGCCAAGTACTTTTCAGTCACTTTGGTGTCTATGTCTCTTAAACCTGTCTGCCTCTCTCAGTCATGAGCACCACAGTCTTTATTTAGACTTTCATAACTTTTCATCTGGACCTCCTGCCACCCATATCCACATTGCTGCCAGAGTGATTTTACTAATTGGATTGTTTATTTTCTGTTCAGGGGCATTCAGTGACCTTTAGGTAAACTTTGAATTCCCTAATATCTCATGTAAGGTCTTTATGATCCAGTTCTTGCTAACCTCTGCAAACTTACCTTTCATTACTCCATGTTCTAGCCAAACTGAAATATCTGATCTTTCCCAACTTCTCTTGCATCTGAGCCTTCATTTATGTTATCTCCTTTCCCTGGATTGTTTCTTCCCTAACTTCCTTGGCCTTTGCTTGCTTTCTCCTACTCATCGTTCTGGACTTTGCTGAGGTATCATCTCCAGGGAGCCTTCCCTGATCACCTGTTCCTCCTCTCATTGCCCCATCACCTGTATTGTAATCTTGAATTATTAGTGTGTCTTTTCTATTGGACCATCAACTCCTTGAGGATGCTGATCATGGCTTTATAAAGTTGTATCCCTAGTATTTAGCACAATGTTTGGCATGCAGTAGGTGTTTGCTGAATATTTGTTGGATAAGTAAATCTCTTTTAAAAGATAAACAGATCATCTTCTATCATGAAATAACCTTCTCATTTTTTGTCCTTATTGGATAGTTCCACTAAAAACCTTTGAAGTTATGAGTCTCTGTAAATTAAGAGCACAAATGATACTACCTTTATGTACTAATTCCGTTAATTTGGTGGATTCAAGCTGACTGCTGGTTTCATCTCAGAAAGTGGAAGTTTCCTGCCTCTGTCCCAGTGGAAACCATAGCCACGGCAGATTTATTCCTAGGCTAGGTTGCTCATTGAAGTTCTGTTTCCTTATAATCAATACACATTTATTTAGCATTTGTGATGTGTCAGACCCTGGACTAGGTGCTGGATATTAATAATACAGTGACATAGGTCCTTATCCTCAAAAAAATCATGGTCTTAGGAGCAAGTTCATCATTTAGAGTTTTGAGTCATTGTGTGAATGAATGAAAGCTGTAATAGCTGATAGTCTTTGAGTTATGATTGAATGAATCAGCCAACAAATTAACGATTTTTTCCTCAGGTAATGAGGATACTTCTGTAAGAGCTAGAGTTTGTGGGAGACACTGCTTTATGGACTATTACCTAGTAGGCAATTTGTAATTTTAATTGAGTAGTATTTTCATATCATTCATAGGTTCCTTCTAACATTTTTGTATGTGTGAACCAGCAGAAACTCACCATGGCTCATTGATGAGAACCCAGAGAGAATAATGTAATCACATTCAGAAATGGACAGCACTGTCAGTTACTCTTTGTTTTACAGAGATGAGCGAAATCAGTCCATCATTGTAAGTGGAGAGTCTGGGGCAGGAAAAACAGTCTCAGCTAAGTATGCCATGCGATACTTTGCAACTGTGAGTGGTTCTGCCAGTGAAGCCAATGTTGAGGAAAAGGTGTTGGCCTCCAACCCCATCATGGAGGTAAGACAGCAGCAGCCTTACTGTATTCTCTTATTAAGAAACATGCTCAAAAAAATGGATTGATACAGCATACATTAGAACATTCGGCATCTCTCAACCACTAAGAGTAAGAAAATACCTTTCCGGGTATTAGTCAGACATCTAGGAAAAGTAAAAATTTAGTAAGCTAGACATTTTGTTTAAAAATCCATCTATATGGAGTCTGCTTTATTCCATAATCCTGCATATTTAAGCTCCATTGAATTATTGCCTCCAACTAGCTGGCAATGGCACTTTATTTTCTACAGTATTTTTCCCTCCAGTTGACTCCTATCTCTTGCTCCTTGTACTGAAGTATAAGTTACTCATTTTCCTCCCAATCCTAAGCTCTTATTTAAGCTCCTTCCAAAACATTGGATTCACTATGCTCAAGCATAAAAGAGTTTCATTATTCCTCTGCCTGCATTTCATTTTCTGTACTTAGTCCAAGCTGTATAGCTATAAGGTTTTTTTTTTCCAAGTTAGGGACTATAGACTTAAATCATGATCTTTTAAATATTTTCCTTCTTGTTTCTGCTGAGCACATCACACAACTTTAGGTTAGAAAAAGAAATTGAATAACTAAAAATCCTTGAAAAAGGAAGAGCTATGAAAGGATGTCCTTCAAAAGTAGGCTATCTATACAAATGCTTATGCCAAAGAAAATAGACCTTTTTGTGTGAGAATTTGAGTATTTTAGGATTTGTAACTAGAGAATTATTTGTCAATTAATATAATTTTAAGAAAGTTACATTTTTGTAAGTAGTCCAATTAATTGGAGAAAATAAGTCTCATTCAATGGAGAGAAAGTAGTTTGGAGATGTAGAAACAAACCTTTCTTATTAGTCAGCATTTTTTATCCTGTTTTTCCTTTGTCAAGCCTTGTTTGTCACCCAAACACAGATGGCGCTTAGAACTGGCCTGGTGCACCTGTGGTACAAGTGGTTTTTGCACTAATCAGCCCGGAGGTAATTGTGCCTGGTGTGCAGTGCTGTGTGTGACACTTTAGAACAGAACACTGTGACCCCTTACCTACAGGGCTGCCCTTTAGAGCAGCAGGACTTCTATTCTTGGGACTGGGAGAATAAGATGTGCCGGGGAAGTTAAGAGGCCTCCCGGGCTGGGTGAGCTATGGAAAGAGAACTGGAAACGTTTTCTGAAATAGCACAGACACAAGAAAACAGACCTTTATGCCGAAAGATAGTAGTAAAGATTTTGAGAAAATACTAAGATTTTGAAAGAATTTAAACTACAGGTATAATGGTGGACGCCACTCGTGTTACTAGTGGGGAGATACTGTCTATATAGCCAGCTTTTTGTTTTGGTTTACAAAGCAACAAGGCTTTGCTTTCTACCATTATTTTGAGTGTTTTGATCATAACAACAAATCCTTGGTATTTGGTGGTAGTTAAGCCGTTCTTAGTCCCTAATGTTAGAAGATCCCAAAGTCGTGATTTTGATGGCATCGGAGAATCCCGTCTCTTCTAGCCCTGACCATGTAATAAGTCCGGAATGAAGCGTCTAGAATGTCAAGTTGAATGAACTATTTTACAGCCTTGCTATATTCTCTTTCAAAAAATAACTACACTTTTGTCTACAACACAGATTTGTGTTAGTAGGATGATATTAAAGATTTGGGATGGTTACAGATACTACTTTTTAATATGCAGTTATAAGGAATTTACTCTGTTTGCTAGCATGAACAAAAAAAGATGAAGTCATCAGTTAGACTTAGCTACTTCCTTCTATATTATTGTTTAGTTTCTCTGTGGGAGTTTGGATTAAGGAAATTTGATAAAGAGAGAACTAATTTTCAAAACTACAAATGAGGGCATCCCAGTTTGAAAGATTAAAATGGAATATAGGGCTGAAGAATGGTGACAAAGGGTTTACAGTTAAAGGAAGAAAATACAGATAAAACTGTTGAATATGTGACCTAGAAAATTTGTTGCTTTTCAACTTGCCTCGAGATTATGTCCCTGTATCAGAGCCCTTTACTGTGATGTCAGGAAAGGCATGTCTGGGTCTCCAGTGATCACGAGTGCCCCACACT